AGTAAGGTCTGAGCTCTCAACTCCTGCCCTCTCAGTTTCACTGTTCCTCTCATGGCCTTGTGTGCTAAAAAGCGTTCCTGTTCTCCATCTCTCTCTATGGTGAAAGCAGTAGCACACTTAGAGATATTATGCACGCACCCCTAATCGTTTTGTGACGGGAAGCATGAGTGTGTTAGGGAGCGGGGAGCTGGAACTGGGGAAGCCCCTCGTGTGGAGGTTTGGAACGCTGCCTCAAGAGTCTTACCCTTTCTCTCTCTGCTCTACCACTCTCCTTTTTCTTTTCCCACTATTTATCCCCCCCCCCCCCCTTCTTTCTTTCTCTTTCACTGTTGCTTACTCTGCCACTCTCTCCCTCTCTCTGCCGCTTAACTAGCCAGCCAAGGTCATGCACACAGACACTCTTTAATCATGGAGGATGAGCCTTCTCTCTCTCTCTCCTGGCTGGTGCCCACTGGGTGCCCCCCCCTCTCTCTCTCTCTCTCTCCTGGCTGGTGCCCACTGGGTGCCCCTCTCTCTCTCTCTCTCTCTCTCCTGGCTGGTGCCCACTGGGTGCCCTCCTCTCTCTCTCTCCTGGCTGGTGCCCACTGGGTGCCCCTCTCTCTCTCTCTCCTGGCTGGTGCCCACTGGGTGCCCCTCTCTCTCTCTCTCCTGTCTGGTGCCTAGCAGCATGCCCAGCCTTCACAGACTCGACGGCAGAGTGCCCGAGGCAGCCATGCAGAGCCAGACAGAGCCAGCTGCAGGCAGAGCCCATCTTCTGCTCCAGAGTTAGACAGGCTCCCTTCCGCTGCGGTCACAGTCCGGGCAAAGCTGACTGTCTCCACAGCCACCCTTGTCACCTCCACATTCCTCTGCTGTGAGGGTGAGACAGTGTGAGACCGTGTGGATAGATGTCTCTACTAGACTACAGCTACTCCCAGCTCGGAGGTGCCTGTGCTGAAGGCCAGTGCTACTGCCTCTAATAAGCCCTTCCCCAATCTAGAACAGAATACGGCTGCATGTATGGGTGAAGCAGAATATTTTTAACTGCACTGAGTGAGTCTGTATACTTTCGGACAATGTGTTTGTCTTTTTAGAGCCACAATGAAACAGAAAATCCACCAACTTGATTGTGTATTCTGCAACTCTGACATTCCTTAGCATTGGAGCATTTCTTAATCCTCCTCCCTGGGATTCTCCTCTGTCTCTGTGTGTCTTGCCACTGCAGCACCTTTACCGTTTCCTTCCCTCCCCAGTCCTGTGTGAGCTGGCCCATTGCCCTGGCTGGTCTTATCTTCAGTAATACTCAACTCTGCTGCTTTACGGGAGCGCTTTAAATACCTATCAAAGCTGTCCTATAATCTGCTGCTCTGTGCTCTCTACAATACAATCTTTCTCTCCAATTATCTCTGTGTCTTTCTATAATTCATAATTCATGTTGCCCTGGCTGGCCTGTGGCTGGCGTCCATACTGAGTGCTAGAGAGGGGAGGAAGAGACGTTATGAATCCTGGTGTAGACTCTCACCTCCCCGATCTGGAGTCGAGGCACAACTCTCAAGTGCAAGAAGTACTACTCACAGCCTATGAGCCTCTCTGTGCCTTCTGAGAAATAATACAGGTCTAACCTTTGTTGGCACTTTCCTCCCTGAGTTTGAGTCAGCTACCTGCAGTTGAGTACCGCCTGAGAGAGAGGGAAAGAGAGAAACCTGTGTTGCCAGAGCATCAGGGAGAGAGGCTAGAGAGGGTATATCAAAGCAGAGCAGAGTCCACCGGGGAATAGAACCAGGGGATTAAATAGAGAGTACATGAAGGAGAAACAGGCTTGGGAGACAGCAGGCAGCGGTGGCTGGAGAGGCTAAGGCTGCCTGAAGACTGGGCCAGATGAGAGCACTGCTGGGTGGAGTAATGGCCCATCATATACAGTTGAAGTCGGAAGTTTACATACACTTAGGATAGAGTCATTAAAACTTGTTTTTCAACCACTCCACACATTTCTTGTTAACAAACTATCGATTTGGCAAGTCGGTTAGGACATCTACTTTGTGCATGACACAAGTAATTTTTCCAACAATTGTTTACAGACAGATTATTTCACTTATAATTCACTGTCTCACATTTCCAGTGGATCAGAAGTTTACATTCCAGAAAATAATGTCATGGCTTTAGAAGCTTCTGATAGGCTAATTGACATTATTTGAGTCAATTAGAGGTGTACCTGTGGATGTATTTCATGGCCTACCTTCAAACTCGGTGCCTCTTTGCTTGACAACATGGGAAACTCAAAAGAAATCAGTAGACCTCCACAAGTCTGGTTCATCCTTGGGAGCAATTTCCAAACGCCTGAAGGTACCACGTTCATCTGTACAAACAATAGTACGCAAGTATAAACACCATGGGACCACGCAGCCATCATACCGCTCAGGAAGGAGACGCGTTCTGTCTCCTAGAGATGAACGTATTTTGGTGCGAAAAGTGCAAATCAATCCCAGAACAACAGCAAAGGACCTTGTGAAGATGCTGGAGGAAACAGGTACAAAAGTGTCCTATATCGACATAACCTGAAAGGCCGCTCAGCAAGGAAGAAGCCACTGCTCCAAAACCGCCATAAAAAAGCCAGACTACGGTTTGCAACTGCACATGGGGACAAAGATCATACTTTTTGGAGAAATATCCTCTGGTCTGATGAAACAAAAATAGAACTGTTTGGCCATAATGACCATCGTTATGTTTGGAGGAAAAAGGAGAAGGATTGCAAGTCGAAGAACACCATCCCAACCGTGAAGCACGGGGGTGGCAGCATCATGCTGTGGGGGTGCTTTGCTGCAGGAGGGACTGGTGCACTTCACAAAATAGATGGCATCATGAGGAAGGAAAATTATGTGGATATATTAAAGCAACATCACATGACATCTGTCAGAAAGTTAAAGCTTGGTAGCAAATGGGTCTTCCAAATGGACAATGACACCAAGCATACTTCCAAAGTTGTGGCAAAATGGCTTAAGGACAACGAAGTCAAGGTATTGGAGTGGCCATCACAAAGCCCTGACCTCAATCCTATAGAACATTTGTGGGCAGAACTGAAAAAGCGTGTGCCAGCAAGGAGGCCTACAAACCTGACTCAGTTACACCAGCTCTGTCAGGAGGAATGGGCCAAAATTAACCCAACTTATTGTGGGAAGCTTGTGGAAGGCTACCCGAAACGTTTGACCCAAGTTAAACAATTTAAAGGCAATGCTACCAAATACTAATTGAGTGTATGTAAACGTCTGACCCACTGGGAATGTGATGAAAGAAATAAAAGCTGAAATAAATCATTCTCTCTGCTATTATTCTGACATTTCACTTTCTTAAAATAAAGTGGTGATCCTAAATGTCAGGAATTGTGAAAAACTGAGTTTAAATGTATTTAGCTAAGGTGTATGTAAACTTCCGACTTCAACTGTATATAGGCTACACAGTCATAAGAGAGCTTAGACCATGTTCAAACAAAAGACTGCTTTGTTATAGTAGAGAATGAATAGAAAATAAGTTAACTTTCACAGTTATAAGGGAAATTATCTTCTACTGCTGAACAACTTTAAATATGCAGTGTGCATCCACCCATCACACCCACCCACAGAGAGAGAGAGAGAGAGGAGAGAATCATAAAGCTGTAACCCTGGACCTATTCTTTCCCTGAAAGAGATCAGCTCCACAGCTACAGATCATCAGGCCCTGCCTGGCTGTCCAGAGATCACAGAGATTAGTCCCACTGACAGCCTGGGTGATGGGAACAGCTAACCATCCACACATACATCCAGCCAAAGTAATGGAGCTGCCGGTAATAAACCAGGATCTAAGTCACAGATTGACTCACAGGGAGATAATTGACTAAAGTTACACATTCCCCTGTGAACAAAAACTAATTATCATGAGCTGAGAGAGAGAGAGAGAGAATGTGTGTGTGTGTGTGTGTACATGTGTGTGTGTACGTGTGTGTGTGTGTGTGTGTACGTGTGTATGCCTCAGTTGTCCAGTGGAGATTCCTCAGAGGTCAAAAGGCCCTACATTAATAACTAGCATCCTGAGCTGAAGCAGCCATATGTAGATCCGCCTATTACTTGGCCTCACTGTGTGGATGTATTATTTATCCTGCATACTGGTGCAGTCTGGATCTGACTGGCTATGAGGGCTACAAGCCCCCAGGGTTCTGTGTCACAATGACCACTGGCTTCTTAGAAGTCATCAACCTACTTTCCATCACAAGTGGGACTATGCTATTCTGCTCTTGAAAATGCTAGCTACTTCATTTCACATGTACAATGTATGAATGCTATCTTTATATTGAGTTTATCTGATGACCTGGATGATGGTGACAGCTCAGCAGATACTATACAAACAATGCATGTCATAGGGATTCATTTTGTGATGCAGCTGCATCCTCTGGGAATTGTTATTACTGTGTAGAGTCCACTCCCCTCTCCATCTCCCCTGCCCCCATCCACGCGCCCTCCCCTAGACCAGTTATTTCCAAACTGTGGGGCGAGGTTGTCGGCGGGGGGGTCCCCCACCCCAAAAGGAACTCAGTCCCGCTTTCAACTTACTCTAGAAAGTTGTAATAGTAGAATGCACTAGGTGCAATTTTGAAATTGGGTAGTGCATCATCAGTTTTCCTCCTGTCATGTCAGTCATTGAATACATTAGAGAGCTAGGTTTTGTAGCTCATACATTTTGTTGTAACGTTTGAGTCACTCAAATATCACATGAATACACATTAGACATGGCAACATGTATAGAATAGCAAGAAAATGTGCTTTAAAATTGCAAAAGTTTTCCATGACAAAATGTATAGAATTGCAGGAAATAAGGGGTGTGAACAGCTTGTGTTATGAGCACTGCTTGGGCCCATAGAAATAGACGTGGGATGTTCCCGAATGCTGGAAGAGGGGCCTAAGTAAAACAGTTTGGGAACCCCTTCCCTAGACCACCTCCCCTAGACACCCATGCCTACCGTCATAGGTTCCACTCTCAAGCAGCAGGCCACTCTCCTCCAGCACGCGGAACTCCCCCACACTGATGAAGTTATAGTCCACCCCAGGAACCTCCCCCTCTCTGGGCTGTCGTGTGGTACCTGCCAAAGACATCACAACAAACACAAAGTGAGTGAAACAGACCCTTTTATGGGGGGGCAGAGTCGTGATGCAGATCCATCTAAATATGCACAGAAGAGGGGTGGACTCCATTTTCATCGTGCACACAGGAATGTGAATTGTGTCCGCATATCCTCCAGGACCACATGCTTCTACATCTGCATTGATTGCTGTTTGGGATTTTAGGCTGGGTTTCTGTATAGCACTTTGTGACATCTGCTGGTGTAAAATGGGCTTTATAAACACATTTGAATGAATTTGATTGAGTATCGTGCATAGCTTACACCAATACACCATGGGGGTTACTGAGAAATCAAGCTATGAATAGATTATTCTAATGTGTGAATAATGCTAAATGATCTTCCACACATTGAGCAGGTAACATTTACAGGTAAGGTGAGAGTAAAGTAATAAAGCGATTGGAGGAGTGTAGATAGCAGCCTCTCTCCTCTCATGGTCCAAATGGAAGATGAACAGTGTTACATACAAAACCCTCAGACCATGTCACAGAGAAACAGAGTAGGTGATTGACCTGAGAGCTGGTTTAATCTGGATGATGGTTGGTCGGTTACTAAACTTAATGCCTGAGTTGGCTGAATAAACCCCTGAGGTCCTCTACAAAGTCAGGCTTCAAGGCCACAGTGAGGGATAGTTAGATGGCTAGATTAATGAATGGAATGGCCACTCCTGAGCCATGACATACGTATAATAACTTAACTGCCAATTCATATAGGAATTATAGTTACCATTGCTTGTCTCTTATTCTCTGTAGTTCTACCTATCCTGTCAGCAATAAATGCCCATAAAAAAAGTGTATTGAAGGAGTTCTGAGGTCTGTTCATCTCCCGAGCTCAGAAGATGGAATTTCTCCTCAAGGTCCTTATTTTCTGTTCGACAACAACAATTTAAAAGCAACAGTTGAAAAACCTTTCATTTGAACATTCTAACCTTTTTTCTTTTCCTTCCTGCTCTTTCTCTCTCTCTCCATCCTCTATTCTTCACCCTAAATCCCCTGAAATCCTTGTTTTTGATCTGGAAACTGCAGCACTATACATGCCAGTATAAATGAAGCATGCAGTCATTTTTTTTAAATCCTGCGCGCGGTAACCGTCTGTGTAGTGCAACTAACTCCAACAAGCTGGTCTATTTAACATGTTGTCCCCTTATCTGCGCTACATTGAAGACATGTACACTACTAGTCAAAGATTTGGACACATCTACTCATTCAAGGGTTTTTCTTTATTTTTACTGGGTTTTTTTTACATTGTAGAATAATAGTGAAGACATCAAAACTATGAAATAACACATATGGAATCATGTAGTAACCAAAAAGGTTTCAACAAATCAAAATATATTTTATATTTGAGATTCTTCAAAATAGCCACATTTTGCCTTGATGACAGCTTTGCACACTCTTGGCATTCTCTCAACCAGCTTCATGAGGTAGTCACCTGGAATGCATTTCAATTAACAGGTGTGCCTTCTTAAAAGTTAATTTGTGGAATTTCTTTCCTTCTTAATGTGTTTGAGCCAATCAGTTGTGTTGTGATAAGGTATGGGGGGTATACAGAAGATAGACCTATTCGGTAAAAGACCAAGTCCATATTATGGCAACAGCTCAAATAAGCAAAGAGAAACGACAGTCCATCATTACTTTAAAACATGAAAGTCAGTCAATACGGAACATTTCAAGAACTTTGAACGTTTCTTCAAGTGCAGTCGCAAAAACCATAAAGCGCTATGATGAAACTGGCTCTCATGAGGACCACCACAGGAATGGAAGACCCAGAGTTACCTCTGCTGCAGAGGATAAGTTAATTAGTGTTACCAGCCTCAGAAATTGCAGCCCAAATAAATGCTTCACAGAGTTCAAGTCACAGACACATCTCAACATCAACTGTTCAGAGGGGACTGTGTGAATCAGGCCTTCATGGTCGAATTACTGCAAAGAAACCACTACTAAAAGGACACCAATAAGAAGAAGAGACCTGCTTGGGCCAAGAAACACGACAAATATATTATGATTTGTTTAACACTTTTTTGGTTAATACATGATTCCATACGTGTTATTTCATAGTTTTGATGTCTTCACTATTATTCTACAATGTAGAAAATAGCAAAAAATAAAGAAAAACCCTTGCATGAGTAGGTGTGTCCAAACATGACTGGTACTGTATAGCAAACATTTTCTGCATCAGGGGAATCAGCTCAGATGTAAATGGGTGTTTACCTCAAGTGAACTGCAATCTGACCGGAGCACCGATGGACTCTTAATACTATCCCTCCTGCCCTCCCTCCACCTTGTGGTAATGTTCATCTGTTACTGCTGCTGTGAGAGCTCTAACATCTGAAATGATTTAAACCTTGTTATAAAGTAGACTATTGTATTCTGAGATTGAAACAGAGGAGCAGACGAGCAACAAAGGCAGTAATATGAGAATCCTTGAACAGGGAAACATGGGAAAAACTGAATACTGTATTCTGGTGTTTGCGCAGCCATTTGGACTTGCCTGTCTGCATGAGTGTCATATAGGTCGTCCTTATGATGTAAAGATCTGAAACATGAGAGGGATTGCAACTCAAGTTGAATCAAGGAATCAATCAAGTCTTGAGGTAGAGAGGATAATCAAGGACAGGTCTTTTGATGTAGACAGAAGCGAAGACAGTTAGCTGCTATTTACCCTGATCCCAGCACTATCTTTTATCTGAGTCTGAGGAGTCGAGGTCGGAGTTAGAGTGAGGTGATGGAGAGGGAGGAGAAGGAGGTGAGGGAGAGGGAGGTGAGGGAGGAGAAGGAGGTGAGGGAGAGGGAGGTGAGGGAGGAGAAGGAGGTGAAGAGAGGGAGGTGAAGGATAGGAAGGTGAAGGAGAGGAAGGTGAGGGAGAGGGAGGTGTGATGCAAAAAGCCTTGGAAGAAACTCTTCAAAAACACTTTAATTGACTTCCATTCTTTGTTAATGTTCTCAAAAAGTTCACCTTTGAAGAAATGAAACAATCAAACCAAAACAATACTGAACAGAGCAGCAACAAAACAAAAACATAATGAAAAGGTATTGGGTTGTTTGGGGTGGATGTAGTGAACATGAATTGGTACTTTTCTCCATGAGGAAGTGTATTGTTGTGGAACAGGTGGGAAGTCCAGTCCAGACAGTGGAACACCATGGCAAAGAGGGTGGACAAATCAAGATGTATATATAGTTCACTCAGGCCATTTATCACTGAATAAATGTGTCAGTTCTTGTCTGTTTAACAGGGTGGCTCTCCCATAGACAACAGTGCAATAGCAGCTGGGTCTGGTCTACTTAGTTCATTGACTTGAATTGAAACAGAAAAAACTGCGAGTGGGGTGTCTCCTTTCTCGTCCATCTCTGACTGTGGCACGCATGCACTCACTCACGCACGCACAAACACCCACAGATGCCAATTGTCACTGAAAAAAACAATTTGTGTATCAGTTTACACAGCGATGCGTCACCACCGTGAAACTCTGCCAGCTGCTTAAGCTTCTTACAGGGAGACCAGGAGCAACTTTAACACACACCGCTGGAAATATGTTATATATAGTCACACTGAGACCTGGCCCTGTCGTGTCCCACTTCCAATAGACAACTCCTATTGCAAGAAGGGCATATTTTGTTTAATCTGTAGTAGTAATGGGAAAAGGGGAACACCAGTAGAGGTCTGAAGATGGGTCTCGGACGATACACCTAGAGATGTTTATTGACTTTTTTTATCACAGTATAGAGAAAGTGATACACAGAGTGATAAATATTGATATGCAATAAACATGATAGGCCTACATAGTAACTCAATGCTGTATAATGTCAATACTCCAAATATATACTGTGAGCCATAGGCCAAGCTCAGCTGACTTTACAGTCAGTGACAAGTCATACAATCCTGAACAGACAGTATGGGTCATATCACCCTAGATATCAGAACAGAAGGAAGATAGATATTCCCTATTAAAGGCAGAGGCAGGATCTAGGTCATTGTGGATAATATGCTGTCTTTTGTTTCCCAGGTTTGAAAAAAGTTTAAACCGAAGACCCTTAAATCTTGTCAAGAGAAAGCAATTCTTTAAATTGAATACCGGGGGCACTTTTTCTTATATTTCTGTCATCCTTCTCGCTTTGCTATCTCCCAGTGAGCCTCTCAGAGCTTACTGCGGTGCCACTACGGATATTACTGCCTAGAGGAGAAGAAAGGGAGGCAGAGGGTTCAGCCGAGCTTGAAGGATTATGTGGCGATTTGGACCCCTGGCACTGACTCTCCTTCCTTCCTTTTCTTCCCTTCTTTCTTCCCTTCTTTCTTGGGAGCTTTAATGATGCCTCTGCCTGTGTGTTCAGGAGGGGACAGGGGAGAAGTCACACTCCTCTCTCTGGGCTGCCATTTAGAGGGCTCTAATGATGAGAGGCAGAGCGCAGCCAGGCGGCCATTCTGGCTCCCAGGGAGAGACTTGGACCATTCCTGCTCCCTGGCTCTGTGTAAGGCCATTTACTGTCACACAAACAGCAGTGGCCAAATGGGCCAAATGCAGTGGTGGAAAACATACTCAATTGCCATACTTGAGTAAAAGTAAAGATACCTTAATAGAAAATGACAAGTAAAAGAGAAAGTCACCTAGTAAAATACTACTTGAGTGAAAATCTAAAGGTATCTGGTTTTAAAGTGAAAGTAAATGCTATGCATCAAATTCCTTATATTAAGCAAATCAGACGGCACGATTTTCTTGTTTTTGTAAATTTATGGACAGACAGAGGCACACTCAGACTACATTTACAAACGTAGGCAGAAATCCGGCCGGTATGACCTAGCACTGTGATAAAGTCGCTCTCACTACACTGGAAGTTAATAGGAATATTACTTTCAGATCGAGAAAATGTCTATCATACATGTCAGATTTCAATACTGGCCGATGTCATAACTCGAGAGGATGTATTCTCTCGAATGAGCCATTGATCATATTTTTGCGATATTCCTACCTCGAGAAATGTGTAATTTAACAGAGGGTCTAGCACATTTTTCCTATTTGTCTGCCTCTTTAGTCCAGGGTGCATTGCATGGTGCCATTGCCAGAGATACCATAGAAAGCACCCAATAGACTCCCATTCAATCCTTGAAGGAGAGCACGCACCTTGTCCCAGAATACACCGCACAGCCCATTGACGTAGCATGGGCAACGTTTCCCATCTCCTCAAAAGGATATCTGTCAGACTCCACTCTGTTAGGCACATAGATCTGCAGATTGAACATTGTAAGATTGTAGACTCCTAAATAGATCATGCCGTTTGTTTAGGCGATTTTACAGCTAACTAGCTACTTTAAATGCTGATATTGTCTTCGGTATTACTGTGTGTAGCTACGTTGCTACCGCTAGTCAGCCAGCACCACCCATTGTGGATTTTGTACTATACTTGAGCTGCAACAGATTTCCACAACGATTTTCCATGTTGCTACCAACCTTATTATAACGCCAAAATGACACATTTGTTCATCAAAAATATTGTTCTCACAGTGTTATTTAATACTGTAAATTAATGTCAGGAGTGGTTTTGGGTGGAGTTTTCCTTTAAGTACTTTACGCCACTGGGCATATGCTGACCTACTGCAGCTGAACCTCCATAGTTTCTTCTACACAGTGGTTGTTATGATGATCGCACTGTCATAACATAACCCCTATCATGGATGAGGAGCAGACAGAAACTAACAGCCATGCACTAGAGACTAGGCTTAGACTATTGTCGTGACTTTCATTATTGTGATGACTTTTATTTATCGAATAATTACCTACTATGTTTAATTGTTACTAGATTAAATTAATCATGTAACAATTAACTCATTAGGAATTTGGGGCACCACGGGAAAAGTTGTTTAACGAGTTACCGTTTCCCGAATTAACTCTAAAGATATCTTGATATCTCTTATCATTTAACAGCGGACTAACACAATATGACACTTCTTACAAAAGATGGCGAGTTAAAGAGAGATAGAAAACACTTGGATACACATGGACCTGTGCTCACAGTAATCCTAATACTTTGCCCGGAACTACCGCCCATTTTGGGAAGAAAAGCAATGAATGTATTTACGTGTTGAGGTCTTCGTCGTGTATCTCTGTTGGACCCAGGCCTTCGTGGGAAGGGGTCGATTGGGCCTTCTCTTTCGGCTGGCCTTTTAGATGTAAGGCTCAGATTGTCCACAAGAGCTCACAATGTCCTTCTTCTTAGTCTGTTTACTTTCACTCGCTCTGGAAGTGGTCTTCTGAGGACCGTGTCGATGATCCCCTGTGGGGTGATGAGAGCAGTGTAGTAGACGATGGTTTGAAGAGAGTAACAGGATGGTCCCACTTAAATTCACCTTCTTAGATACAGTACTTAGAACAGCTACTCAGCCGTAACATTGATTGTTAGTGGAGGCAACTTCGTCTTCTTCACCTCGTGTTGATTTTCAGAGTCGGGACCAATATGGATAAAAGCTGCAGCTTGAGGTCCGTCTAGTCAGATCTTGCAATTCTTATCTCAATCTTTTATGCACTCTGGTAAAGAGGGGCGTTTCCGTCATACTGACACGCTCTCTGAGCTCCCTCGGGCGCGGCTAGTTACGAGGCAAAAGTATTATCATCACTATGATTTTGTTGGAAAGCTAAAATCACATTCCTATCTTCACGAAAACATTGTCTTCCTCCTTGATATTTTCTACACAAGGTAAAGGATGTAAACCTGATATAAAAAAATTTTAAAAGTGTTTAAAGTCACAATGTTTTCATTATAACGAATTTATACCATTTTTAATGACGTCACAAAATAGACATACATTTTCCATATTCCATTTGTCATCATTCCCAACGTTTGGATGTTGAAATATATTGTCCCAATGTTCATTGTTGGATGTTGACGTTTTTGGCCGGCAAAAAGTATCTGAAACAAAGGCATTCCTTTCACCATACTAGAATGCCAGAGATAAATTAGAGAGGAGGAGGATCTATGGCAGTATTAAGGTGTCAAGACCGGCACAGCCCCCCTGTAGGTAAGAGGGTGTGGTTGTGGTCGGCCATTTGCCAAGCTGATGGGAGGCCTTTGATCCTCACCCAGGGAGAGTCATGACACTATGGTCACTGCTTGAAATGCTACAGTGTATTACTGTACAGACATACTGTAAATCAATATCTAAATAAGATGCACTAGCCCTGGTGTACTTACATAGAGTTATGGACAATGTTCCCTTAAATGTTTGTTGGCACTGAGCAAATTTCAGGTCTGCTGAGCACAAACTTTAACATTGTGAAAAACTTCCAGCACGGGCTTACTGTGAACACTGAAGCTGTACCCGCTTTAAGTTACAGTTTTAACAGTGGCCAAGTAGGCTACTGTGGCTATTTGATCATAATGTAGGCCTACCAGAGTGGGTTACCATCAAAAACAATGGAGAAAATGCATCCCTTAACATTTTAACATGGAAATAGCTGTTCTATCATTCAGCCTACAGTAGCAGTGTGTTGTTCAATGGCCTACATTCCATGAGACTTTTGAAAAAAACATGCAGGGCTTGACATTAACCTGTTTATCCATTTGTCCTTCAGACAAGGAGGTGACTGAAAATGTTGTGTTGTTTGATGGAAGAAACCACATTACAAAATAAAATGCATTATTATTACCATAACATTATTACAGAGAATCAGACAAATTATGCTACCCTCTGCCTATTGGCTACTTAGCTTATTCAAGCCTGTCTCAAAATACAACACTGCCCCTTTAAGACAAAGAAAAGCTCTTTACCTGACTCGAAATGCACACCTTTGTACTCTTGTAGGAAGCAATCATTCCCTATTGCTGACTACAAATTATCTATAACTGGGCTAATAATTCACTAACTAGCAAAGGATATGAACAAAATGTGCACGCCTGGCTACATGCATCTCTTGCTTTGATCTCAAAACAAGCGCATCTGCTCACGACCACAGCTGTAAACACAGTCCAGTTCAAAGTAAATGGCACAGATCCATATATGGCAATGGTCTATTTGCATTTAGGGCTACTGCAGCTCTGATTGGTTATGCTGCACCAGTCTGTGTAGAGTATGGGCGGAGTAGTGGGCAATAGAATCCTACTACGATACGTTCTGCCTACAACGAAATCTATTGCATAGTTGTTTTGTTTCGGTATGTTGCATTGAAAGTGGCTAATATTGCGATGATTCGATCACAACTGCCAAAGTAAAGGGAAACTTTGATAGTTCTAATCAACAGGGAAAACTCTAGAAAGTTGAGTGAAGTTCAATCTCGTGCTTCTGTAATTGCGCTGACATTTCTTCTGCGCAAAGTCCTGGGGAGCTGTTCGGCAGTCTCGGGCTACTCCGGTGAGCAGCTTAGAGGGAACATTGGTTATGACTTTTTTATACGATTTGTCATAAAACACTATTTAACATAAATGTCTGCAGTCGTCTATATAACCCCTCATGAATTACATAGAGAACATTAACAATGCATTGACTCATGAAACTGACAAATTAAACAGATATACTGTATTATCTAGAGAAAAAGCCATTTATTTTGTTGCCTGTTATTTCCAATTATCAGCATTATATTTCCACATGAGAAACAATGCCATTCAGGAGACTATGCATGGCTATGCAAGTCACAAATGAGAAACTTTTTATATGCAAATTAAACCTTGACTCACAAAGATTATATAAATTAGTCCCATAACGTTAATAAATGGCGAAATGGGGAGTAATTGCCATCTAATTCGGCAGAGTGGCGAAGAAAAATCTGCACGTTGCACTTTGAATCCAGCCAATTGGCTCTTTTGTCCATTTAAAAACCACTAGGGTATAAAAATAAGAAGCTTTTCCACACCACCTATTCATCCCTGTGTTTTAAAGGAATTAGAGACACAGGCATAAAGAGAGTTCAAGGGGAGTCATTCAGAGCGGGTGGATGAAGCATAGAGTTGGTTGCAATCTTAAGCACCTTAGAATAACAAATTAATAGGAAATATACATTAATTAAACATACAATACATGCATATTATATTCTGGACATTAACTTCCAAGGCCTACATATTAGTATTTGAAAATGGAGTGCGATATCTCCTCACTCATCTTTCAAATAGTGGTTATGTGTGTGATGTTGATCGCTTTTATAGTGAAGGTTTGACAGGCGCTTGTAGACGTCAGAGATGGCTGAGAATGCCCCCAGTTGGAGAGGAGAGGAATCCATGATACACAGCACCAAGAGGAGAGAAAAGGAAAGAGGGACAGAGAGACAGGACGGTGGAAGGGAAGGAGTGTGATTGAGTAGTCAATCTTCCTCTCATCACGCTCTTCCTTATTCCACCAATTCACCAGGGCAGATACCGTGGAGGGCTCTGATGAATGCCAAGCACTGTGTCCTCATGGGAGAAGGACCGTGGCCTTCTGTGAACAGCAAACTGCTCTGCTGTTTATTGGGCAGCTGCCATATGGCAGGGCCAAATAGAATATATTGATGGGATTCTGGTAAGTTGATGGGACTGTGGGAGAGCATGTTCAGCTGTAATTAGAGACAGACCAAGACCACTAGCCAGCTAGTGCCAGTGGCCATCAGTGATGTCACCTGTCTTGAGATCTAAAGGTGACCTAGTCACATGGAATAGCCGTAATGAGCAGGCACATGTGGAGTAGACAGAGACCACTGAGGAGAACAGAGACTCAGGGGGAGCCCGGGATGTTACTACTCACAGGGAATGGTGCGCAGGTACAGGTTGTCCCTGATCACCTGCTGGAGCTTGTGGTCCAACAAGCCTTTCTGGAACTGCAGGCTGAGGTAGTGACGCAGGTCCGTATTCAGCACCTTGCCTGTGAAGAGGAGGACAACACATCTGGGTCAGTACATTACAGTACAGTACACACACACACACACACACACACAACGTTCACGAAACGTTCATTTACACTCCCCTCGAACATTCCTAAACAGTCGGGACCTCAAAATGCATTACCACCAGTGTGTATCACTTTCAAACCACTTCTCAACTGAGATCATTTCATTTCATTTACATTATTTAGCAGACGCTCTTATCCAGAGAGACTTACAGGAGCAATTAGGCTTAAGTGCTTTGCGCAAGAGCACAGACAGTATTTTCACCTAGTCAGTTTGGGGATTTGAACCGGCAACCTTTTGGTTACTGGCCCAACGCAACACTCTTAACCGCTAGGCTACCCGCTACACCAGTGTGTAGACGATAACCATCTATCATCACTTTCAAAACCACTTCTCAACTCTCTGACAGGTGCCTGTGATAGTGATAGAAAGCATGCTCCCAGCGAGAGTATGTGAAGGAGGACAGTTCAGAAACTTCAAAGATGTGGCTGTGTGACAGCATTGTTGTGCATGGGAGCTAGGGAGACAGAGCAGAGGCCTATAGGCTGCATTAGTAGAGAAACTGTCATGTCAGACAGATTAAATATTAATTGGTTTGAATCACCAAGTATCCAGATGCATACATGAATAAAGAGAGTAACACAATGGCTGACACTGTTGCTGCCACGTAGTTTCTGACTGAGGAGCAACAGAAGTTCATGCGGAGTTTGAGGAAGTGTGGGGGCTGTGCAAGTCATCCTGAAGGAGGAGGGGAATTCAGGCATTCCCCTCGGAGCAAGAGGAGAGAAAGAGAGAAAAGAGCGAGCGAGCGAGAGCCAACATTCCCTGGTGTCTGAACAGGATCCCTCTCTGAGCAGTTCAGTCTCCAGCTGTTTAGAGCCTGGTGTGTGTGTGTGTGTGTGTGTGAGAGAGAGATGCAAGGCGTCTTCCTCAGGGTGGGGAGGATGTGCTTTGAGAGGACGCCAGTTAGTGTTGTTAGCATCCATACCCATTGTTTCTCTCCCTGAGCTCACAGGCAGCCGCCACTGACTGCAGGGTACGTGCTTTTGTTTGGTTCACCCCAGATTAATGAAGGACCAGTGTATGTAACAGGCTGAATAATCACTGTGGGTACTCCCCAGAAACTCGCATAGTTGAAATAAGGAGCACAGAGCGATGCATTTCTTTAAAAGGAGGAAAAAATATCTGCAAACTGAATCTGTTGAGAATAACACATTTTAAATGTTTAAGCAGCCCAGCCTACGCATGGTTTTAAATATTAATCTTTAATAGCGGCCATTTATAGCATCATGCAGTGTGTATGCCTAGAGGAACAGCCCGGCTGATGTTGGCTGGCTGCCCCAGTAGTGTACAGGCAGCGAACGATGTCATGGTGAGTTTGGCCACCTTATTCACAAATAAATGTAATCAAAACAAGTCACAGCTTTTCCTGCGCTCTGATTCATCCCCCAGGGGGTTGAAAGGGATTGCCCACTGAGATGGCAGATTAACTGCGTTCCATTGGTTAGCACAGATGAATACTAATACACTACTGTCCCCGAGAGGCCCATAGTATTGTATATTTAGATTAGATTTTCTAAAAACTGGATAAAAATTGTTAGAGTACATTTTCTGTGCTCTCGGTCAGCACCACCATTCCCTGTTGAAATGTAAGGATCTACAGAAAGCTAGTAAGAGACTTGCATAATCTTTCATATAGGCCAAGTCAATATCCTGTGACAAAAAGTCAATGCTTTAATTGCCTTGTAATGCACAAGCACATTTGTAATACGCTGAAACATGAGAGCGTATGTCAAATGTAAACAGTTTGAGTATTGAGTATGAATGGTAAACTACATGACCAAAAGTATGTGGACACCTGCTCGTCGAACATCTTATTCCAAAATTATGGGCATTAATATGGAGTTCCAATTCATCCCGAAGGTGTTCGATGGGGTTGAGGTCAGGGCTCTGTGCTGGCCAGTCGGGTTTTTCCACACCGACCTCGACAAAACCTTTCTGTATGGACTTCGCTTTGTGCACAGGGCATTGTCATGCTGAAACAGGAAAGGGCATTCCCCAAACTGTTGCCACAAAGTTGGAAGCACAGAATCATCTAGAATGTAATTGTATGCTGTAGTGTTAATATTTCCCTTCACTGGAACTAAGGGGCCTAGCCCGAACCATGAAAAACAGCCCCAGACCATTATTCCTCCTCCACCAAACTTTACAGTTGGCACTATGGTAGCATTCTCCTGGCATCCACCAAACCCAGATTTGTCCGTTGGACTGCCAAATGGTGAAGTGTGATTCATCACTCCACAGAACTTGTTTCCACTGCTCCGAGCTTTACACCACTCCAGCAGACGCTTGGCATTGCGCATGGTGTGCGGCTGCTCGGCCATAGAAACCCATTTCATGAAGCTCCAGACGAACAGTTCTTGTGCTGATGTTACTTCCAGAGGCAGTTTGGAACACGGTAGTGAGTGTTGCAACCGAGGAGAGACGATTTTTACGCGCTATGCGCTTCAGCACTCAATGATCCCGTTCTGTGTGCTTGTGTGGCCTACCACTTCGCGGCTGAACCGTTGTTGCTCCTAGACGTTTCCACTTCACAATAACAGCACTTGTTGGAAAGGTGCCATCCTATGACGGTGCCACGTTGAAAGTCTGAGCTCTTCAGTAAGGCCATTCTACTGCCAATATTTCTCTATGGAGATTGCATGGCTGTGTGCTCGATTTTATACACCTGTCAGCAACGGGTGTGGCTAAAATAGCCGAATCCACTAATTTGACGGGGTGTCCACATACTTTTCTATATATAGTGTATTTTCTTAGTATGAATGGTATTTTACACAAGTGTAAGCAGTCTAGCTACAGTCCTGTATGGCTGAGGTAGTGAGGGCCAAAAGAAACATGCCTCTTCACATTTACATTTTACACATTGTGTAAGTCTATAGACATTTTAATGTCACAATGAAAGTGAGGAATTTAGGTCAGGGAACAAAAGCGACCTCCCGTCACGCATTGGACTGGTAAACCTCAGGCCTGTGGTTCCATGTTCCCAGAAAACTATTCATATATTATGAGCTAAGGAACCACGGTACACACACACACACACACACACACACACACACACACACAAACTGAGAGCCCTCCCCGAGGCCAGCACTGTTCCCATGTTCGGTTGTGAGGTGAGAAGGGGGTCTTTCCCCCCCACCATGGGAATGCGTCTTGGCTCCATTTCCACACAAACCCCATCCTCACAGTGATGTTCAGTGGCGGTTAAGTATAGACAATGGATGGCGCCAATTGTTATCATTGAACACTAGAGCTGAAGAATGCACACTCACTCTCCCTCTCATACTTCCCCCCTCTCTCTCTCACCTCTCTCTCTCTCTGTGTTTGCAGGACAGGGCAACCTTTTGTAGCCTGGCTGTCAGCTAGCTCACAACAGCTTCCCACTATGCTACGACGCAGCTAGCACATTACTGGACAGCCAGGCTGCTATGGAACACAACGGGCTCCTTTGTGCCTCGTCATCTGGGCATTAGAGTAGCGTGTGTATATGTGTGTGGGGGGGGGACGGGGGTCTGGGAATCATTAAAAACAGAGGGAGAGAGAAAGAAAGAGAGAGAGAGAAGAATGATGATGCAAATTGCACATGGGATGGGAACCCACCACTACCCTCCCGTCCTCACTTCCATCACCACACTTCTCTCTTTATCTCTCCCTCTTCTCTCTCTTTCCCTCCCAAGTCATGGAGTCTCATCAGCCCAGCCAAGCCCATCCCACAGGACTCCTCACTCTCAAAACAATCTGTGAGATAACTTCCTGAATAGCAATGAACCTCCCATCTCTTCTTTCACTCCCCTATCCCTCATTTGTCTTTTCTCACTACACTGGCCCCTGCTTCCTATCGTAATCCGTCTACCCGTCTCTCCTCCTCCTCTGTCACCCTTCATACCTCCTCTATTGTGTCCGAATACCCATAATTCTGATCTAAATAGTAGGCATTTTGGGTATGCGAAAAAATAACGTTTTATAGTATTTGAAATGTTGAAAATGTAGTTTGCTTTAAATGCCAGGATGTAGTCCATTTAGACTTTTCATCTAGTAGAATTCGCTGCACACTATTGAGGAAGAGAATCGTCTTTTGTGTGTTTGATAACAGCTGTACCAAAATGAACGAATGACCGGATCAATGCTATTGCACATTAGATTACACATTCTCAGTAGTATTAGCCAAGTATGCTGATATTTGTTGTTTACTGCATTCATTTTTACTAAACAGTACGTTCTAAATAGTATGTAGTACGATTAGTACACAGTATGCAGTTAAAGTAAGTAGAAGGCAAGCCAGATCTCAAATATTGCCACTAACTCACTCACAAATATTGATTTATTATCTTCAACAGACACCTGTACTAAACATCAAATTAAAGCATTCCAACGCACAGTGAGTCCTCTCTAAAAGAGTGTGGAATGCAGAGATGTCACAGGGAGAGGCAGTGCTGCCACCAAAGGGTCTTTAATAGGCCATTCCATGTTAGTGGCCCAGCCCTGGTGCTATCTAATTAGCACGTAATTAAGACCGATTGGCATTCCAGGGTCATGGAATGGAAGCACACCCTCTCCTCTCTGTGTGACAGAAAGGTAGCTTTAACAGGTCTCCTTCCTAAAACCCTATCAACGTCCCCACATTCTCCAGAACAAACACACCCCCCCCCCCCACCACCACCACCACCACCACCACCACCACCACCACCACCACCACTTTACTATTTATATTTTTGACATTTCATTTTTCTTTCACTACATTCCTAATGAAAATAATGTACTTTTTACTCCATACATTTTCCCTGACACCCAAAAGTACTCGTTAGAATTTGAATGCAGGACAGGAAAATTGACCAATTCACACACTTATCAAGAGAACATCCCTGGTCATCACTACTGCCTCTGATCTGGCTGACTTACTAAATACACATGAT